TGTTGCCACTCAGGTAACCCAAGGATGCGTTTAACTGCAGCCTTGAATGCAGAGTGTGCCATCTCCGTGCTGTTCAGGAATGGGGAGTAGGGAGGGAGGCGCTTCAGCTGGATCATTGGGTTGGCACCTTCAGGGAGTTGGGCTCGCACGTGAGGCCTCGCATTGTCGTATATGAGGTAAATGGGTTCGTCGTCTGGGAAAACTGCATCACACTCTTGAATTGTGTCCGCAAGAAACTCCTCGAATCTCTCTCGCGTCACAGTTTCGAATGCGATTCGGTGGTGCACCAAGCCTACTTCACTAGAAACAGCGAAGGTGACATTGCAATTTCTCCCTCGTTGTCTGTCGACGACTCGTCTTGCAGCGATCCTTCGTGGAGCTCTACCCTGGGAGCGTCGAGTCCAAACGTTATAACCTGTCTCGTCAATGAAGACTAGATGCGCCAGAACACCATGCTGCAGGAACCACTCACCATACTGGACGCGTTGATCAAGAACTTCAGGGGAATTTCTTGCATCAGGGACGTCCTCCACTAGTTTCAGTGTAATCATCATCCCATCCAAGGCCCTGGCTATGGTGGCAGTAGAAACCTGGGGCTTCTCTGGCAGATGCTCACTCAAACTAGCCTTCATTTGTTGAAGTGTCAAGACGGGATTAGCGTCAAGGATGCCTTGCAGATGGTTTCGCATGTCATCATCCATCTTGCTGTGGGTTGCTCCTGCTCTTGCCAGCGTCTCTCGCCTTCCAGTCCTCAAATGTGTTGCAACAATTGATCTGGCTGTGGACTTGTTGATGTTCAAATTGACCGCAAGCTGAAGGTAGTCTTGCTCGTTTCCCTCGAAGGCCTCAATCAACCTTTCTCGATCTACTTTTGCCACTCTAGCGTAGCGACCACGAGCTGCCATTTCTAGAAATTCGAAGTACATCGGCAAAGTGACTCAAGTGCCAAAAAGTGAACCGTATTTATGCCTTCAACATTCTTAAGGAAACAAAAATTTAACAAAGCGTTTTTTAGATTGCACAAATTCCAGAAATGACTGCCCAAAAATGAATTTGAATGACTAAACACACGCCTCAAAAAGCTCCTGCGAATTTGAATGCTGCTTTGTTGAATTGTTAAATTGCATGATTATTTTGTTAAATCGAATGACGCAACAGTACATTTGACTGGTCATAAAACGAAATCGAATTACCCTTTTCAGTAGCATTTGATTTCGCGCGAAATAGAATAGCGTAGTGGTTAAATTGGCTGCTCATTTGCCGAAATTGACCGAGAAAACCTATATTATCTGGAGACAAGGTATAAAGGGGGTAATGTGGCCGATGTAGGGTAGGGTGACCGTTGCCTTAAATTGAGGGCGCTGTTCATGTGATGTTGCTGGCTTGGGCTTGTTGGTGTTGATGTTGAAGCCGTTGAACTTGAGGGATGCGCTGATGTGGTGGACCTCTTATCGGAAAAGGGGCTTGGTCGCAGGTGTCGTAGGCTCGCCGTAGTAGGGTGTTGCTGACCGCGGACTTGAAGCGTGGGTGGTGGAAGGATGCTCGGTGTAGGTAGAGGTCGGTGTGCGTTGGCTTGCGATTAGTTCTACTGAGTGGAGCGTTGAATTACGGGTACCCCTCCATACAAACGCTCCACCGATTTGCCATACTTTGGTGACGGCGTCACAGTAGCATAGTGTACATGTACCCACGCGAGGACAAAAAGACCCCCAAAAAACCGGTTAAGAGAATACAAATGAGAGAGACAGTTACCCTGGATTGATCTACACATTCATGACATTCCATCAGACCCCTAATATTGTTCCCAAACAGCGAAAATTTTGGGAAAAAACAGCTAAATGTGTTTGCCTTGAGGCTCAGTCCTTGCCCCGACTTGCCGAATGAGGGCGTCTGACGTGACGTCACCTTCGTTGCTCGATGAAGAAAAACAAGTCGCGCTTATCAACGACTGTTTCGTGTAATGATACGTGCTCCTTGGGTGTGTTCAAAGCCCTTACTGTCGTGCGGCGCGGATCGGAGCACGTATCATTGAATAACACAAAACAGTCGTTGATAAAGTGCGGCTTGTTTTTCTTCGATCGAGCAACGACGGTGACGTCACGTCAGGCGCCCTCATTCGACAAGTCGAGGCAATCCTTACAGAAATCTCGCATGTAATTCCCTTGGGAAATTTTCCCATGGGACCATATGGGAATTGCATGGTGAATTGGATCATGTAGCATGGGGTTTTTCCCATGGGAGTTTTCCCATTGGCTTTTTCCCATGGGAAATTTTGTATGGGTTTTTTCCCATGTATGGTTTCCTTTCATTTCTCAAGAGATTTATTGCTCCATGGTATTTTTCAATAACAACTTCCTAATATATTTTAACCCTGTGTGTTAAGTGCTATTCACCGAATAGGTAAAGCACATCACGGAACTCCGATAGGGGTTGTTCCACGTATTAGGAGTGGATTATTATTGCTCCCATACCACTTGTCAAGTTGTATCATATTATCACAGTGTTCCCAATTTATTTTCTCATAAATGTTTCCAACCATAATAACATGTGAATCAATATTATCCAAAGTTGGAATGACACATTTTACACAAAAAAAATACTGTGTGCATCATTTAACTTCACTTATCAACAGAAAAATTCAAAAATGTGCAATTACAACAATCGTTATTGTAAGCGATTCTCACAAAAATGTCCCATAGTGGTCCCATGGTGTCCCATGTTGTCCCATGGTGTTTATCCCATTGTGTTCAATTGGTGAACATCCACAGGAGTTTCCCATGGTCCGCTTAACAAATAGAATTCTTGATAACCTCTATGACCACAAGGGAAATATTTTTAATTGAATTCAAATTTACAGCTTGGCGAATAAGTAATTAAATCAAAGAAATTAGGACTGAGCCTCGCGGCAAGCGTAATTTTTTTTTCCTAGGAGGGTTAGGGGCAATGTCATGAATAATTCAGTTTTTCCTTTGAATCATTTCAAGACTTAGGTTCTCGTTCTATTTTCCCCTTAATTAAAAATTATCTCAGTGATAAATTTGGAGAAGAAAAATAGCTAATGAAAATGAGCAGCGACGACGTGGATTCGAACCAGGGATCTTTGTATCCATAGCTCATCTCGCTATCCACTAGGCTACTGTGTGGTAGCTCGACGACAACCGTTCTTTAAAATGCTTTAATGTATTGTAACTAGTTGAGTAACTAACAACAATGCTGTTGATGTCATTGTCCGTTCTCACGGATAAACATGAATTATTCATGACATTGCCCCTAACCCTCCTAGGAATAAAAATTACGCTCACGGCAAACACATTGAGCTGTAAGTTTTCAGACTATTTTGCTGTTTTTTCCAAAATGTTCGCTGTTTGGGAACAATTTAAGGGGTCTGATGGAATGTCATGAATGTGTAGATCAATCCAGGGTAACTGTCTCTCTCATTTGTATTCTTTTAACCAGTTTTTAGGGGGTCTTTTTGTCCTCGCGTGGGTATGTACACTATGCTACTGTGACGCCGTCACCAAAGTATGGCAAATCGGTTTGTATGGAGGGGTACCCGTAATTCAACGCTCCACTCAGTAGAGCTAGCTTGCGATGAACGGTGTTGGAGATCGGAGCAATCAGGTTGCCGGGTGACTTGGACATCGAGGAAAGCTAGGGTGCTCTGTTCTTGCTCCATGGTGAACTTGATGAGTGGGTGCTACTGGTTGATGTGGTTGAGGAAGATGTGGAGTTGCTCCGTACTGTGCGGCCAAACTACGAACGCGTCGTCTACGTAGCGTAGCGGCATATATCGGGCTTGAAGTCTGATGGTGATGAGTTCAAACACCTCCATGAACAAATCCACCAGGACCGGGGATAGAGGTCATCCCATGGCGGCCAGACTGGATTATTCATAGAAGTGATTCATCCACTGGAAACAAGTGGAGGAGACGCAGGTGTGGAGGAGGTCGTGGATCTGTTCCGGGGGTGCTGGAGACGTTCTTGGGCAATGAAGCAGTGCTTCATCGGTGGGGAGGGACGTTGGTGAATAGGGATGCCACATCGAAGCGGACGAGGATGTCCGTTGATTGGCTTGAGCTTGATGGTCTTGATGGTGGATGGAGTTGGTGATGTGGTGTCTTGTGTGGCCGACTAGACAAATGGTACAAATTACTTCGTTTTCATGTAGAAAGATTAAAATTGTATCTTGCAGTTACATAACCGTTTGATAAGGGAATAAATGCGTGTTTGGGAGAAATTATAACACTCTGTCTAACACTGTTCCTGACTTAGGCCGTGTCCGAAACGGGCTTCCAGAGCTACGGCTACGTCTATTGTCAGCGCGTCTCCGCGTATTTCTAATGGAGCGAAGACCTAGACCTAGCTCTAGACAACAGATTCGGATGCAGCCTTACATCAATGACCTGCCGAACAAGCTGACTTCACAAGTGAGAATTCGCTGACGATTGCCTTGTTTACCAACAAATATCATCTGACAAGTAAACCTCAACTCTACAAAACGATCTCAAGTTGTTCGAATCATGGCAGGGGAATGGCTCGTGAACTTTTATCCATCCAAGTGCCGTACCATCAAATTTGCTCATTGGACTCCTCCAATAGAACCCCTCATAGATTCAAATATAACGTTGCGTACATACTCCTCCTGGGCCTTATAACTTTCAATTTTCCTGCTCGCTGATTTGTCCTCGCCAAATAATTTAAACCACCGCCTTTGGTAAAACATCCGATGTCGTTATCGCCATTGTGTAAAAGGCGTACGTACACATGTTTTACAGTACCCGTATGCATTGCACAAGTACAACTTTTTTTTTTACAAGACCCGAACTTGGCCGAGAAAAAGCGTTACTACGCATGGCTTGTATGTCGTTGCTAAGGTGGGCGGGGCTATAGACATATCCGCTGTTCGGTCCATTCAGAGTCTATGAGCTGGGGACTTTGGGGAGAAATTTTGCACTTACATGTATAATACGTGTATGTATAACTGGCCGTCGGGGCGAGAACCACATTGGATCCGACGCCATTGCTACACAACATCGACGTGCTATAGTTGTGCGCAGTGCATTCGTTCAATTTCTGTAGAGGACATTGCAAGTTTGGAGTGAATTAAAGTGTTTAGAAGTCGTACAGGCGAGGAAGGTATGGGTCTGCGTAATTCAGTATTGAAAAATGGAGAACAACATAGCGTCACTAAACATCAATGGTACCGTGAGAAAAATATCACTGACTTGAACTGGCTCGTGCACCTGCTGGACATTCTCGAGCTAGAGCTAAGTAATGAGCCGCCACATTATAAATTGCTACTCGTCATTGGTCGGTTTGAACTTGAAAACGACTTGGAAGTCGCTTACATCATTTCCGGCAGGGATGATCCAGAAAGCATTGTGTTTTACACTGCCTCGCTCCGGGAAGTGATTGCTGACCGCAGAGTTAGAATCTATGATGAGACAGACCGTTCCACACACATCCTGAAAGCGAGAAATCGCTATGATGAAGCTATTGACAGTATTATGTTTCGTGTCATGGGCCGATTTCTTGGCAACAAATCAGTAGAACCGCTTATCAGCTCTCTCGTTGAAGAAATTCCACGGTTAAGTGGTGAAACGGTGGAGGATATTCAATCGCTGGTGACAAATTTGGTAGAAGTGGCTTTGAGGCTTTTGATTGGTAAGTATATCGTGTAGAGGCCGGTTCATACTTGGTGCGAAAGCGAACGCAAATCTGATTTTGCCGGTGGCAAGTTTGGGCATATTTACTTGTCTGTACCCTCAGTGACGTCGGGAGGGGAGTCGACGTTTAGGGAGTTGTATTGCTGACACATTGCCGTAAAAGTTGGTGCCTTAACTAACCCCTAGGCACAGGGGCGATTTTTTTTCTCCCAATGGATAGAGTATCAGTCAATTTGTGGACATTGACGGTTGGTGATACGTTATCCGTTCAATTCCGTTGGTTACGTTATCCGTTGGTTACTACATCAGTTGTAACACCCAGTCATCCATGAAATAATCGAAGTGAGAATCGGCGACAGATGGACTGCTTTGGGAACTACAGTTTAGCACACTGGCGATTACAGTTTCATTTTGCGATCAGGGCTGGTGCGAGTATTTCTGTTTTGTCAGTTGCTCTGCGCAGGGTCATGCGAAGGACACATGTCCAAGTTCAACGAAGTTTATTCATATGCAAATTATACATAGGCCCTGTGAACTGAATGGTACATTGTTAGGTTGGTGGATAGGTGTCATGGTGTGAATCAACCGAAACACACAGTGAGGACCTCGCATTTACTTTTCAATTGCTTATCAGAGGTTCTTCATTCAGTGCAGACTCGATCATTTCCAGTTGCAAACTACAACCTTTTATTATAATACACGTTGACTGGTTTTACTATTATTTAGGCTTAAGGTTGATTTGATTATTTAGGATGATTTGTGTTTTCAAGTTTTAAGAAGGAGTAACGGGCCTATAAAATGCTGCCTCGTGTCTGATGTAGGGATTTGGTCACGTTTTTCATGCCCCAGGGTGGGGATTTTGGTCACTCAAATTACACTTGTTACCATTGGCGTACTTCATGGAAAGGCAATCACTAGTGCGCCCCACGTATGTATTTCGGGATCATCACTTAAATGTTGCACGAGGGGTGGGAATTTTGTCACTTCCAAAGTGACAATCCCCACGTCTTGGGGCCCGGGTGGGGAAAACAAAGATAGGCGAAAGACATCAGTACACGTTAAGGCATCAGGAAAGTTCACTTTGGACATCATCATGAACTTCCAATCTTACTATTAATATAACTGACAACTATTTAAAAGCGGTGGTTCAAATTCCGGTCCATTTGCAATGTTTAAGAGAGTTACTGAATTTTCTGGCTCGAGTCGAGTCGAGTCAGTTTAAGGAAGTGACTCGAGTCGAGTCTAGTCTTAGTTCAAAAAGGTCGAGTCGAGTCAAGTCGTGTCACAGTGTGTGGTTCAGTAGAGTCGAGTCAAAATCATGTTCGAGTCAATACGAGGCACGGATATTTTTACACCTTCTTAATAAATTAACACAAGATTAGGAAATATCCCGAGCGCAGCGCATGAAACGAAGCATTGGGAATTGTATTTTAAGTCTGGTTCTTGAATTATAGTAGTTTGTGTACTACATTATAAAAATACAAGGTGGGAGTTAATAATTTGGATTGGTTAATAATCATTGCCTGTTTGAAATGACATAATTGACTTTTCCCCCGTAAATTTTATGTCGTGATTCAGGTTTAGCCTCGCAAGGTTTCAAGGACCAGGCCGAGAGAAACAAAGAAAAAGTCACCAGTTGGTTTGACAAGAACCACATCATTGAGTCGGAACTGCGTGCATGTGACAGGCTGGAATTCAGTAGGTTGTTCTACAATCACTGGGGCATGTTCCTCGGCAAACTGGGAGACAGAGTGCTAGTTCTGCACTTTTCCACCGCCGGAAGTGGAAAGAAATACTCGATAAAGAAGACCTCTGGTCTCGGATCTTCGGCGATGGATAAACCAGCCTACCGCATCGACTCGATTAAGAAACCTCTCAGTAACCGTAGAATGAGGATCAACAACAGACTAGTCAGTGCCGGATAAAATCCTCGATGGCATCGTTCATCGACTTGCTTCGCAAGGTTTCCAAAGATCACCAGAGTACGATGCTTTGCATAACAATTGCGAGCATTTAGTCAACGAACTTCGGTACGAAAAGCACCGCTGTGAACAACTACCACCAATCTTGGGTAAGTATTAACGAAATTATCGGTGTCCCCCCCCCCCTTCCCTCCCTCCTTTAAATGGGGAGGAGAAAATAATATATATTAAATAATAATATAATTTTCCTTCAGTGCCGCACCCCCTCCCTGAAATATTTGTGAACCTACAGGTGCCCCCCCCCCATTTTTACCTATAGTTTACCACTGCTTGCTCCGGTGTTGAAGAAACAAGCACTATTTAATCCGTTGACGGGCCGTTACCCTGATAATTGTTGTTTCGTGGGTGTTTGTGTTTCAGGACCACTTGCGAAGAGGCTTAATCGCATTCTTTGTCAAAGCTAAGAGAGCAAAATGTGAGATGACGACCTACTGCGGAGCAGTGCAGACTACGTCAGATATCAGGCTACATTGTTTTTTTTCAGTGACGGTGGAATGTCCACCCAAATTTGCTCAGATATGAGACATATCCAGAATTTTCGCTGGTCCCAGAGGGGCAAGCTTGTAGTCCTATTTGCACCAGAACCCCCCATGGGATTGTTAAAAAGCAACTTCAGGAATCATCTGATCGCTGTTTATGTGGCATCCCATAGCTTCTCTGTTCATGCTTTCATGTTTGTCTTCTCGCGAGTTGCTCTTTATAATGTAGATTAGTGTTTCCTCGATGCTAGTTGTTGTCTCTTTCATAGTACTATTTGTGTTATTTGCCCTGTTCTGTCTTTGTCCTGTACTTGTCTTTACTGCCTGAGGTCCAGTTTTTGTCCTTTGCAAGGCTTTCCACACTGTTCTTTTCGAAATATACATCTATTCAACCCTGTCCAGTGGCGTAAGTCTGTGCCGGGGACTGGAAAGGGCGGAGGGGGTGGGGGAACGAGGGTTGACTAAAATCAGGACATTGCCCAGCCGTCCAAATTCGAAAAGCGGGGGCGTAGGGCTTGTTGGACACCATTATGACAATAGGGGGCACTGTTCATGTTACAGATGGGCATGTTATGTTTACTTAGAGTGCACACCGGCAGATAGTGATAAATCCATCCGCCAAACATATATAAAAGTAAAACCTCATATTAGACAGTTCTGATAGCCATAACATTGGGGAATTGAAAAGATATGGCAATGAAACTCTGGCTCGGACATGGGGCTTTCAATTCTGAGCATTTTGGATGCAATTGGGCTCGAAAATGGCGCTATGTTGTCTTCTTGTGGAGGGATCTTTTTCAAGATCGCTACCTTTCCGCTTTCGGGAAAATAGGGGTCGTCTTGTTTGGGTGAAAATTTCTCGAGCAGTCAATGGTCAATCCACCCAAAAATGAAAAGAAAATGAAAGATGACATGTTGATCATCATTTGTCTGTGCAGCTTAAATTACCTGTAAGAGTTCTGAGTATTTCAGAATAATTTTGAAGTAAGGGCATTTAGCACTAAAAGTGTCTATGGAAATTTTGCGTGGTTGTACCCTTACGCCCATCAAAATGGCGCATTTAAAGCTTTTGGACTTTCTCTCTTTTTCAGTACTATTGAAAGCGTTGGGAAGTTCATCAAAATACATCAAAATCCGTTGGTTTTTTTGTATCTCACTACAAAAAAGTGGGGGGGGGGGGTAGGCGGATGATCCAATAACCCATCCCCCTCGTCAAAAAGTGGGGGGGAAAAAAACCCCATCCTTCCGGAATTATGCCCCTGACCCTGTCGTCTTTCCTTGCACAATGTAGTTTGCACTTACTTTTACAAAATAATGTTTTCCCATACTTCATGTATTTCTGTTTTGGGTATTGAAAGTCTTTTCTCTGGATTGTATATTTATTATTTGGTTACTTTCATTTATATTGTGGCTAATTAATTGCGTGTTATTAATATTGTTTTTATAATTACTTTTGTTCTTCTTTTTTTTAAACTTTTTCCTTTGCATGGTTTTCTTTGATTTTTCTCAATAAACATAGTAAAAACAACTTCAATTTCAGTTTAGGTGGTGGCTAAAATGAAACAAATATTGCATTAAATTGAAGTGAAGTCTTAGCTTTACCAACAAGTTGAAAATGGATGAACGCACAACACCAATTAAACAACATTCGTATAACGCACACAATTCCAGTGCGCAGCTTTTCTGAACAAATTGTCTAGAATGTTGTGCGGGTTGATATCAGCTTGACCGAGCTTGCATGGTCTTGTTTTAACGTAAAACAATTTGATTTGTACTGACTAGTATTAAGAAAGTGTGGGAATTTGTGAATGAAACAGAAGAACATCTTAAACTGTAGTGATTTTCTTTTTATGTGTAAATACAGTAAGTTTGATTTTTACTGACTAGTATTTAGAAATTGTGGGAATTTGTTAATGAAACAGAAGAACATCTTAAACTGTAGTGATTTTTTTTATGTGTAAATACAGAGTAAGTCAAAAAGATGAAACCCTTAATGTCGGGACCCTTTTTATGTTAAGTTCTGCATGTAGCACTTTCAAAATCTAGGATATAAAAGCCCAATTCATAAGCTTTCTTTGAGTACAAGAATCACTCAAATCACGTATGTACTTTTCAAGTTAGGGAATTTTAAACACAAACAACGTTTTAAAGTTCTTTCCACGGATCACAAAAAAAGGTGTGTTCTTTCAGCAAAACGAAAACAATGCACATAGAGTAGTTGGGAGTCAAAACAAGCGGAACCCAAACCCCCAAAATATACATATTTCATATTTAAAAAAATATATACAGCACCAAAATAATAATAACTGGAAAGCCAATTTCAGAAACTATTTTAAGATGAAATACTGAAACTGCTCAATCCGTTCAAAGAGTATCACCAATTAAAACGCAATGACCCTTAAGGCCAAAAAAAAAAAGTCTCCGGTTTCTGGTATGCGCGCGCGTCGCCGTAGCCATGTGCGTCGGCAAAATGAAAAAGTTTTTTTTCAATACAAGATGATGTTTCAAAACCGCCAAACTCACTGGTTTGACTGGAATTCTGCTGCTGCACAATTTTAACGTGTTTTTAGATGGGGTTATGATCGAGAATAAGATTTATGTGGCCTCTCTGGACTCCCATATATTTGCACTAAGTTTAGTCGGGCAACATTTGCAGTCATCAGCCGACATTTGAAGCCAAAAAAAAAAAAAACAGGTAAAAAAAAAAAAAAGCCGCGTCACCGCACAACTTTTGGGGCAAGCTCCATACCAGAAACCGGAGACTTTTTTTTGGGGGGGGGGGGCCTAAATCTTGTTCGTCAAAAAAATCACTTTATTGTGTGTTCTGGCTGTTTGGAACAACAAAGAAAATGACACAAAATATTTTTTTTAACAACTGACCTGCAGCGAATAGGTAAACAATGTGATTTATACAATCTACTTGGATTAAAAGACGGACCTTCAAAAGGACTTTGTCGAATATGTTTAACTTTTTAAATGAGGTTTTATCGCTGGTGATGCTTGAAGACAATTGTGACAACAATTCTTGAAATCGCATTTTTGGACGAAACACGTTTTAGGATCATTGTGTATAAATGGTGATATTCTTTGAACGGATGGAGCAATTTCAGTATTTTTTTTTCATCAAAAAATAGCTTATGGAATTGGCTTTTCGGTCATTATTATTTTTGGTGATACATAGCTTGTCAAATGTGAAATATATATTTTTGGGGTTTGTGTTCCACTTTTTTTGACTCACCATATACATCCCTATGTTAAAGTACATGTAGAACGAGTCTCGTGCAGTAAATATGCGTACACAATAACGCTGGTACACACTGATCACCTTTTTTTAATTCAGGTCAAAGGTTTTTTTCGAGGCTATGGGATTAATTTAAAGCCCGAGTCCATCACTTGCAGATATCCAAAAAAGGAACTGGCGTAATTATTGTTGAAAAACATACTGGTTGAAAGATAGTAAGGGGACTAAACTCCCTGTGAAATTATCCTTTTTGGCAAGCTCTCATTTTGAAGAAATCAACGAAAAAGGCATTTCCAACGGTGCTTCTAAAGAAGCACCGTAGCAAAATTTGAATTAGTTGTTCGTTTTTGTTATTCGGCGCAGCGCGCACAAGCATTGGAACGACGCACAGGCGCGCGCGGTTGCTATAATTCGTCGGATCAGTGCGCGACATCGCGTAAAGCTGCAATTCAAAACACTTCGAAACATGATTTAGCAACTTTTGATTTTAAATTGAGATCCTAGAATGTTGCTTTTCTTGGAATATGAAGCTGAAGCTGAGCTGAAACTTCATCAAGTAAGTTGTTCAGTATCCTTCATTAGATTTTGAACACTTTTGTTGCTCCAAACGATCAAAATGCACTAATTACAAATGACGGACTATAGCTTTAACAGCATTTGGTATCTATACATGTATAAGGGTACAACAACAGTGAAAAATCAAATCCCAGTGTTTTCTCAACCGTTTAAGACCGGCCACGCGACGGGCTCTGGACCAATGGCTAAACTGTCTTAGGCATATATAAATATTACAGGTAGATTGCATTTTGTTTGTTTGAAGCCGTTGCTCCAAATCTAAAGGAGGGTTCTTAACAACTAACCCGATGAAGTTTCAGCTCAGTTAATGCTGTATACATTGTATTAACAATGTTTATGGATCTCGATTTCAAATCAAATTTGGCCCGAATTCAGCGTCCGAGACACGTTCTCACCATAGATATAGAATAAAAAGATGGTTTTCACTGAGCCGAATGGCAGCTACGCGATGTCCGACGCACACTAAACTGATGAATGAAGCAACAGGGCGCGCGTGCGTCGTGTCAACGCTTGCGTGCGCTTCGCCGAAATTGAAAAAAACGTACTACTAACGGAAACTTCCAACGATGCTTCTTTAGATTACGTCATTTACTTTTTGGATAGCTGCAACGGATGGAATTTACTTTTCAATGCATGCACTGTACTACAGATTCTTAATATGAGTGAAGCCTAAACGGATATTTTTCACCAGTTTTGTTTGTACTCAAACGTCCCCACGCCAGGCTTCAAATGTAATGTTGTGTCCATCTTAAATAAAAAAAAAATATAATTTACTTTATTTGAATGACTCTTGCATATCTTAATTTCATTTCAGTGTCGCAGCATTTGTTTGAATCTCATCCTGAGGACGCACAAAACATCGTATGGTACCCTGACGTCGTTTTAGATAATGGTCCATATTCTGCATCTGATGAGGTGCTCGGAGTGCACTGTCCGTAGACGGAACACCTTTCAGTTACTTTCTTGCAATTGTTCATTTTCATCCTCTTCCACTTGACTCGCTTCTCTGCTGTCCAAATCGAACGTCGTGAAGATGGGTATCTCCTCGGCCACGCCCCTACGGTGGGGGTGATCCGGCGGTAGGAGGAGCCTGAACTTGCCCCGCCCATTGGCGGCCACTTTGATGGGCACATACTGCTTGCCGTCAAAGTACACCGCGTCGCTGACCTGGAACCCTCTTGCGCGTGCGCGCTGGACCACCGAATCCAGCTTGTCATGCGCAGTCGGGTTGCTGTCGTAATGGCCGTCGCTTTCGTTGCTGTTGTTATTGTTGTTGTTCAGATCAGCGGAGTACTCGTTTCTTTAGAAAAAGACAAATGTGACTGCTAAGTTAACTTTAACAGCTAGGGCAGGTCCAAATTACTTGTCCACGGCCATCCATAGAAGCTTGTGGATTGACAAGCCGTTGTTGAGGAATTCAAACGCATGCCTGATAATCTTCGTTTAGCTGAAACGACTAAAAAGTCTCCGGTTTCTGGTATGCGCGCGCGTCGCCGTAGCCATGCGCGTCGGAAAAAATTAAAAAGTTTTTTTTTCAATGTGAGATGATGTCTCAAAACCGCCAAACTCACTGGTTTGACTGGAATCCTGCTGTTGCACAATTTTAACGTGTTTTAGATGGGGGTTACGATCGAGTATAAGCTTTATGTGGCCTCTCTGGGCTCCAATATATTTTGCACTAAATTTAGTCGGGCACTATAGCAGACCTTTAAAAAAAAAAAAGTAAAAAAAAAAAAAAAAAAAAAAGCCGCGTCGACGCACCACTTTTGGGGCAAGCTCCATACCAGAAACCGGAGACTTGTTTTGGCCTTAAAAAAGTTTGCATTCAAATTTACCAACTCCAACAGTCCATTTTGTCCACGAAAATAATCACATGCTTTTATCAAAACCAATGCAGTCATTTACCATTCAATGTAAAGTTTGGTCACCCTCTTTAGACAACGAGTCGAGAATGTTCGTCAGTATACCAGATTCGTCTATGCTGTTGCCGAATGGCAGCATTCAGAGATCATAATTCGTCTTATATAAGTCAATTAGACAAATTTGATTTCTGAATAAGAAGGTTTGGCGTAGACGAGACAAAATCGAATACTCCGGGACGAAAAGGTGTATGCGGTTTTTGAAATTGCCTGAACTGAATTTGTAATTGTCTAACAAAAGATGCAATTAAACATTGGAAGTGCACTTAATCTATGTTGATGGACGAATTTGAATCACTCCCAAGAAACGGTTTTCTAATGTAGCCGGGAAAACATATTAAAAAAACCGTACGTCTGGGTATTCAAGTTCCGCCCAAAAATCCAATGCAACGAACATTTTCAAGCGGTCACAATAATATTACCTAGTCACAATGCAGTATGAAATTAGTCCACGAATTCCACTGGGTTGGGGGGGGGGATAAAATAATGAAGTCCGACCGTGAAATACAAATATTCGTCCGTTTTAACTAAACAGTAGGCCTACTTACGTTTGAATGAGTGACTGCTCACAGAAACTTATCAGCTCCTGTCGGTGGGCGGGGTCTCCAAAGAGATTGATGCCATTGCAACGAAGAACATCCTGTGGGTCCCCCACATCGCCTAACTCTGTGTTCTGTACGACATCTAGGGTGAGCGTGTCTAGCCCAGAGTTCCCGGATAACATTGGAGGTGATGTTGCCTGACTTTGGAAAGCACTCGGCTCGAGATCTGCTGCGAGTTTATCAGATGTGCTCGTGCTTTTGAGTTGGGTAAAGTCACCGGCGTCCGGCGATGTGAGACACGGGCATTTAGAGTGGATTTCCCCCGGTGAAACCGAGTGTGGCCGCTTGAGTGTTGAAGCTTCTTGCGGTGAAGGCGTCATGGTGATTTCGTGCCCTGTGTCGGCGTCTTGAATGTGTGGGCTACCGAACGGTGATGCTGGGGGATGGTTTGTTGAGTTGGACTCGGGAGCCGTTTTGTCCTCCCTGTTTCTCGGAGAATGGGCTCCCCGATTGCCAGCCGATTCTAGGCTCTGTTCTCCGTCTTCCATGGGTCTCACTTCGTCATCGCCCTGCATCAGTGGAGCATCACCGAAGTCAAGCATCTTCTTTGCCGGTTTCCTTCTGTCGGGGGTCTTATCTGGGTGATGGGGAAGTGTAGGACACTGAACCTGCAAGAAAACGAAATCGATTATGTTGGACTATACTAATCCTCATGATACCTAGCTAGTTAGCGATGTTGAAAAAGCACCAATTATGCATTTTGTTTAAGTACATAAGTACATAGTAGTATAAAGTATATAGCCGGAAACGGACCTATCTTTCAAATTAAAAGACATTTGCGGTTGAAAATTGCTTGAAATTGAAAAAAAAAAAGGAAAGAAAGAGAGTCCCGTCACCTCAAAATCGCCTTTATCTGAGCATGACTCGCCGGCTAGTGGGTAGGGGGACAGCGAAGGCATCACCGGGGAAGGGCCAGTTGAACTACGGCTGGCCGAGTCCGGGCGATCCTCCTTCACACTCAAGAGTTGGGGCTCGGCCGGGGAAGAGTTCTCGGCTGGAGTTGACATATTGCTGGGTTGGATTGATAAGAAAATAGCTCTGATTTACGGGAGAAGAAAGACGCGTCGATAATCATGATTTTGGTATTGACTCAAAAGAGAGGCGAGGGCAATCCAACAAAATAATGAGGTCTTGACTTTGTGGTGGTTTCTGAATAAAATTCCTCAAAAGGCCCATTTTACAAAGAAAGCGCCACCTCACTGCACGAGTATTACTAAATTAAAGCAACAGTTGTAAAATGTTTCCTGTGGTAGGCCTACAATAATTTATTCCACATGAAAAATATCGCTCAAAACTATCATAAACCAGGAAAGTCCTTAAATACTCGATCGAACAATAACGTATAAAAATGCTTAGGAAAATGGAAGAATGAACAAAATTGGAAAAGGATTAATTACCACGTTATCAGAACCAGCGGTTTCTTCACAAAAAGAAGTTTACTTGACGAAGCGAAGTGATCGGAATTGCCTCTGGAAGCTCACACATCTTTTTTGAACGTCCTCAAGCGTGCGTTTTGACCGTTTTCAAAAGCGCAAGATTGAAGTTGAACAGGGCGTTCAACTTGTACGCACCTCACGCGCGTCTATGGCCTATGCGCCGGACGCACTAGGGCGCTGGCGCGGGGCTTTCTTCTGGTCGAAAGCTCGCGCATTGGGGTCAAGAACGGGCAACCGTCCACACGCAACACGGCCAGTGAACCCCGTCCACAATTTTTAGTCTGCAGGCTAGAAAAGTCATGTACCACAATATGCATGCGTGGATTATACCACATTAGTGAATTGTATTTATTCAATTGCGTTTCATCAAGTCATATACTGATGGATGAAATAATTTCACTTCTTTTTTACCCCAATTCATGGATATGGAGGATTTTGTAATGGACAGTTAAGTCCTATACCATTCCGTTATCAATTCAAGCATGCACATTTTGGAAGTTGACTATGTTTAGTTGCAGAAAAAAATCACCCCGGCTTCAATATCGGCTGTATAGTCAAACCAAAAAGTCAGTGAACAGTATTTTGTTCTGAATATTCTAATTTTATTAAACTGTGAAACCCATTGAACCCAACAATACAGCGATTTAACTTGTATACTAGTCAAAGAATTCATCATTACAAACAATGTGCAGTGCAAATTAATGTACACTTTGGCTGCCTGGCTGTGTCAGGTCAATAAAAATGTTTCAAATGAGTGTACAGAACAGCAGTTATATAAGCAGCCGAATAAAAGTGTTTTTCCCGACTGCATCGTACCGCATCAAATAATATGTCCAATCTATCTTTCAATACGTGTATTTGTTGTCTTGTTTTTCTCAAATAAGCTTAAACCTATGAATATTAAAATGTGTGAACATTCATATTGACATGGTAACGCTTTATAAATACATACCAGGGCTATGGGGAAACGGGTGGTAGTATGAAATTTGTACTTCACGAACAGGCTTCTCGGCCGTACTGCGCATGCGCGGCCCACACGCTCACAATCTGGTTCAGGCTATTTTACCAGATCAAATATTTTCATATAGCACCGTACCAGCCGCAGTCACATATAGTCCAATATAATTATGGCAACGTCTGCATTACTTGGCTATGCGGTTGATGGCCACACACACGTGTCAAAGGGGAAGTGGCTTCAGCATAATGATTGTGTAATTGCCAGCCGGCCGTAGCCACTTCATTCTGATGCGGCATCTCACGCGAGAAAACAAATACAATGTATGGCCAAAGATCGATGTCGTAATGCGGAAATCGCCATACGTCTGCACAAAATGATTTATTCGAATTAATGAATAGTAAAAGTGAACCCAAAACGATCAAATGAAGTCACACGTCATCCAAATGAAAACGTAATGCTTAACACGGCAAATTGTTTGTACACAGATCCAGAAAGGCAAACAGTGAACGTTCATCCTGGGTAATATGTGTTCTGTATTTCATTTCAACAACCCTGTGTACAAAAACGAACAAACAAAGGAATAACAATAAACTTAGCTGCATGTTTACGTGACTGATGTCCGTTTCACACAAGTACAATATCACATTTCATAATTTCATAATTTGGATAAACTATGGTATACAAGCAGGAGTAATAGTTACATCTTTCTTCTATATTTACTGCTATGGTACAGAATATCTTACAAAGGGCGAACAAACGAGTTGCAAATAAAACAAAACACAAAACAAACCGAAGCAAAAAAATCCTTGAATTGAAAGTCTTCACAAGTTCGAGTTATTTACCCCAACACAAAAATAGATCACTTTTCCCAAATAACCCATCCATTTGCCTCGCCCACTATTGACGTAAGCAACACACGCGCGCGTTGCCAACGCGCGTTCCATCACCTCCATCACGGCTGTGATTGGACAGGAACACCATGGGGCGGGACTTAATGTATAGGTCTCTTCCTCTTCACACGTAATATATCTTGCTTCGTTTGCTATTAAGAACAAACTTTGATTAAAATTCGCTTGGACAAAAAAGGCTCTTTACAATTTACTCAGCACCGACGTAATTCTTGATTTTACATCTGAGCATATTTGTGAAATAGGCCATATTTTGAGCAAATGAGGTTAAGCAATCAGAAAAAAAAATCACTTGAATGGAAGCAATTCAGCAACTCCACTACAATCTAAAAAGAAAATTAAAAATTAACATTATAAAATTTAAATTTTTGAATTCTAGCAACACATTAATATCTATATCATTACTAGTTTAAGAGTCATGTCTACGCCCTCACTCTTTCAAAATAAGGCCAGTCTGCAAGTAGGGGCATATTCAAATTTACAACCAACAAAAAGCTAAGCTGGACATTTTTTGTACACGACTATGCTGCATATTTACAAATGAATATAAAACAGTTAATGTTACATGTATATAACCAAATCTCAGCACCTAATATACAAAAATATAAAGTGGTATATAAAAAATAATAATACAACTTATGACTGTTATTGTGAGGAAACACAATGAATGCATTGATAGAAACAACTTATCGACTTGTCTAGTCTTTTGTTTTCTGTAAAATTCTGAGGCTTATACATGTAATACACTTTGACATGCTTGAGAGTTTGACCAAAAATGGACTGGTGCAAGTCTCTGATCAAGGCAACTTCCGTCTTGAATTTCCGTCAAATTTTCCTTTGTACATTTGAAAGTCAGATTGTTTGAGCGAAAGCAATCCATAGAGTTTGTTTTTGTTTAATATGTACAAATTTCCAACCTTCATGGTAAAGTGCATGATCATCCTTGAAATTTTTAATTATCAAACCCTAGATTTTCATTTGATTTTGCATCCGTAATGATCAACTGTTTCCTTCCAAAATGACACAAACCACCTTTTTCGGGCAAGTTTGATTCCCGTTTCTCGGCACTGATTTGCATAGTTGCCAATTTTATCTCAACATAATTTTTGTACTAAACAAAAAAAAAGTAAAAGATTTTTCGTTTAAAATTTAATTTGAAAAAAAAAAAGGTTAAAAATTCAGACAAAAATCAAATATAGCTTCTGGCCATTGAGAAACTTACAAGGTTTTAGAAATGTATACAAAACTGTAACTGGTTTAATTGACATTCAAAACCAACCATTACGGATGTATATATTCTAGCTTTGAATATTCATCAATACACAATTATTGAATACTCAATACTACCTTGTAAATATTCATGAGCCACAATGTACATATTCATGACTTATGATAAATATTAATGAATGATAAAAAATAGAGTGTTATATACACATACATGTATAAGCCTTGAACCTGCAGGCTAGATGGAAGCTATACACTGGGAATTTAAATAGTTCTAATGAAGGCACTGGTGCGGACTAAGCCAGGTTTTGCTTCAGGTAGCTGACCACGTCGGATTCGAACCCAGTCCCAGAAGTGGAATGCTTGAGGGGTACCAGTGTCAAGAGCGTGCTTACCACAAGCAGGTTTCGAACCAAAGTCTGATGTGTTGGAGGATAAAAAAGTAACTAGCGCAACCTACACGAAACTGGGCCAGGGAAACTGGATAAAAATGTATCGTCCCATGAGATGACTTGGTCGGAATTAATTTGAACCATGGTGAACATGGCAGAGGGAAAGTCATCCTAGAAACTGTGTAAGCCATACTAGACACGCTTGGTAGGGATCTGAATCCAAGCAAAACTTGTGGAGGTCAGAGTTGATACCACTATGCAAGGTGCCAAGCTAGGATTCGAACCCAAGACAAAATAACGGAGGTAGGGGGTGGTAACACAATACAAATCCATTCATGTTTGGTTAAGTTAGGGTTAGGATTCAACCTGAGACAAAACGGTGGACATCAGGGATCCTACCACCGTGTAAACTTCTACGGCCGGGTTGGGATTCGAACTTAAGCCAAACTAGTGGAAATTGGGGAAGTTCGTTCAACATTGTGCTAGCCCCTACCTGTCGGATTAGGATTCGAACCCAGGACAAAATGGTGGAGGTCACGGGTGGTACTGCTGTACAAATGCCTTCATGCTTCGTTTAGGAATTAAACCTAGAACAACATAATGGTTACTGGGGATAGTACGTAACTGGCTATGAATTCGAACCTTAGCCAAACTAGTGGAAGTTGGGTGGTTCATGTACCATTGTGCTAGCCCTAACAGGTCAGATTAAGATTCGAACCTAGGACAAAATGGTGGAGGTCACAGGTGGTACTACTGTATAAATCCCTTTTTTGCTTGGTTTAACTGAATCTGGGACAAAATGGTAGATATCGGATATAGTACCGTACTGGGTATGAATTCAAACCTTAGCCAAACTAGTGGAAGTTGGGGCGGTTCATGCACCATTGTGCAGAATTCAAACCCAAGTCTTAATGGTGAACATGAGGGATACTACCACCGTGCATGCCTGCACATGCTGGGTTGGGGTGTGAACCCTAGACAAAATGGTGGAGGGCAGGTAAGTACCACTTTGCAAATCCCTTCATGCTTGGTTAGGAATTGAACAAAATGGTGGATATCAGGGATAGTACGCATTGGCTGTGAATTTGAACCTTAGCCAAATTAGTGGACGTTTGGATGGTTCATGTGCCATTGTTTCTAGCCCCATACTGATCAAGTTAGGATTCGAACCCAAGACAAAATGGCGGACAACAGGAACATTACCACTGTGCAACCAATCTATATGATCAGCCGGGATTCAAACTGAGGTCAAAATGCAAGCAGTCGGGGGTAGTTCCACAAAGCTAGTCTGGCCACCAGTGCTGGAAGTAATTGCTTACACGATTCCCTGCATAGGCAATTTATTTGGTGATGTTGGAATGGTGGTCAGTCTGCCGGTCAAACCTTGGAGTCCAGGTTAGCCTTGACCTTTGTCCGGACAACATTGGCCGTGTCTGCCATCATTTTACCTGAAATAAAAAAAAAGCAAATCCGAAAATTCAGTTGCTGAAAAAAAAAAAATCTTCTCTATTTGCCTCATGATGTACAGAGTACACTGTATGTAACATTGATTCCTTTGACCCTAACCCTGCAAGACGCAACATACATGTAGTGCATTAGGAGTTTAAGTCTGTGGGACCTCATTGCATTGGGACATCAACACCTGTGCATGAATGGCCAACTCAGATACAACGAGAGCTAGATCCCATTGAACAATGCCACAGTTGTATCCTGCTGCAGTCGGCGACCACAGACTCCAAAGTATTATGGCCTTGAGACTTTTGACCTGATGGATCTTGCCACACTGAACATGTTGCTGTGTATAGCAGGGTGTCTAGCCAAACTACCCTGGAGGGTTTTAGGGTTAAGTAACTTCTTGTCAGAATCATACACGTAGCTTCACAACAAAGGTTGACTGTGACGTGACATCCCAATCCCAATCTACTGCATTGTACATGCCAACAGTTTGACCATTTGTGACCGGATCCACACAAAAGGGACGTGCTGTGCATTATCCTGAAAAGGCCCGCTCAATGTTGAGAGGGTACAATTTTGTCAAAATGTGATTTCCAGTTTTTGTCATTAATGATATCTTTTATACCTACAGTTTTAGGTTTCATTCACAGAAATGTTGATTTTGATACATAAAGTGAAAAACTACCATTTTGAGTGCATCGTTCTGTTGTTCTACAAAGCCAGCTATTTCAAAGCCTGTTTTCACAGTTGTGTAATTTAAACTCCAAGAAAGTAATTAATATGCAAACACATCATATCTCTAGAACAGGAGGGGCTATGGAGGATTATATATCAAATGAAAGCTTTAGTACGTTGTGGGCTTGCCAACCAGGTATACATGTATAACTCCATTTCACTTTTTGCGACATACTGCCCTTTTTTGTGGAGCCGGTCACATTTAGAGTACCAAACAAAATTTGAATATGCATGAGGCTTGGGGGAGAAAGAGGCATTGGAGAAACCTTACCTCCTTCTCTGACGACTTTTCCAATCTTTTTAACCCTGGCCCCAAACTTGTTGGCGTTGACTTTGCACTCTGCTTCCCACTCCCGCACTCGCGTCTCAAATAGGCCTACGGGGAACAAGGGCAATATCAAAGGTGATAAAAATGAAGAATCAGCTCCCATAAACATGAGACTAGATCAGGTTCTGATAATTCTAGAGTTGGAAAAGCTTTTTGGCCGACCAAGGACATCCTCGGTCGAGCAACTGGGATCGCCCAGCAAGGTTGATAGGCTCTGGAACCAGGCTACAAACCGCAGACACAGGAGATCAGCGCGACGACCCCAGATGTCTATGCCGTAGCGTGAGTGATTGAGTGAGTAGTATAAGGCACTATAAAACTATCAGAAACGAAGTATTTCTTAGTGCAGGAATTATGTGGCATACCCAAAAACATTTTGTTGGCTAATTTCTTTTGGGATCTGGTTGTATAGGTCACAGCTTGCATGGCTTGTGGAATGAATAGCAACAAGTTGACCACAATGTAGCCTTTGACCTTTTTCAATGACCTTTGCTATTGTCAATCGTCAAGCGTCTGCCGTTAATGGTCAAGCGTCTGCCTCATCTCCCTCTCTTTATCGCAATTCAGGGAGGACATTTTCAGGGACTCTTCAGTAAGGAATCAATTTCAACTCGATTGGTTATAAGTAGTGGAGTGTGTTTACGGGTAGAACGGGAACCATGTAACCTTCTGAAGTAAAACAGGGGTACCGGGGTACCTGTTAAAGAAACCCAACCCCAAAATTCAAATCCCGGAAGTTGTCTTTAAGGGCCTTACAGCTTTGTGGTGTAAACTGCAAGTTTTGTGAGCGTCATCTGTTGCGCGTTAAAATGCACATAAACGTGAAATCTATTTTGGTTTTGCATCGACCAAGAGGACATGATCATCATGGAGTCCAACCCTCGATTTCGGGGACAGACGGACTATAAATAGATGGATGATGATGGATGTGGCCTGGTTTCATTTCGAAATTTCCAAACAAATGGCATACAAAACCTTTGTTTTTTATTGTCTTAGAAGTTACCAAGTAATTTGTAAAGCTGGTTATGGGTACCCAATCCCATAATATGGAACCGGTTCCTGACATCAGCGGTTGGGTACTCGGGTCCCCGGTTAAGATTCACACCAATAGTTATCTAGGCATGCAACTGCGAATTTGGAACAAAAGTGAGGAAACTCCAAACCACAAGGCTTTGCACAGTATTTCTCAATTTGTAATGCAGGCATGCAACTGGAAATTAAGAAAAAAAACCAACAAGAAAATTCCAAACCACACAAGACTTTAAACAGTGTTTTCCAATTTGTAGTGGCATTCTCAAGAAGTAAAATCAGCGGATCTGAGGAAAAGTTGCATGCCTGTTAATGTCATTCATGAGAAGCCTAAAACAAGGAAATCAGCGGATCCGAGGAAAAGTTGCATGCCTGTTAATGGCATTCATGAGAAGCCTAAAACAAGGAAATCAGTGGATCCGAGGAAAAGTTGCATGCCTGTTAAATTGTTAATGGCATTCATGAGAAGTCAAAAACAAGGAAATCAGCGGATCCGAGGAAAAGATGCATGCCTGTTATCAATCAGTTATTAGTTGGCGTTGAAAGTACGAATTCTCAAGTTTAATAAACCCTTCGCACTGACCTTGGGAGATGCCTTCTACCTCCGTCTCCTTCTCCTGGATGAAGAGGGAGAACATCTGGGTCTCGGTGAAGACCTCCAAGAAGCGCCGGATGCTGCGGGAGGGGACGGCAGCAATGAAGCCCTCCCGGTCAAACTTGAGGTTGCCCTCGAAGTCCGAGGTGAAGTGGGTGACGTAGTGGCCGCAGGTCTCCACGAAGAAGCGGATGAAGACCTCTGAGATGGCTCGGTTCTTGGTTTCATGGTCTGACAGAAAGAGGCAAGTTTCAATTTTTAACTTTTTCTCCCTTAACAATTTCTGTTTCTAGACCAATGAGTACAGACTTGTCAATCTTCCACACTCTGCAACTGTTGATGGAATCAAATTAGGCCTTGGGACAGCCACAGTAGGTGGACGTTATTTGGCTTGGGTCAATATGGGAATTTAAGTACAAAAGAATTCAATCAAACTAAGATAGCGCCATGTTAATATGTCCACCACAGTTGACAAAAAAATGCTAATTGCACATTCTCTGAACTTCACGGTCTGGTAAAAAGGAAGTTTTTTCCTTCAAACTCAGCTCTTTTTGCATTTTTGATGGGACACTGTTTAGGAACATCGACGCTTGTAGTACATTGCATAAGTTTTTATTACATTGTATTTATTCCCCTGATAATACAATCAAACATAAAGTGCTAAAGAGGTTTGGGGTGGGATCGGGACTAGTTATTTTATCGAATATCTCCTTCCGTGGCAAGAAACCACGATGAGCGTGAAGATTCGGCAATAAATGCAACTAGACTAGAGATTCTGAACATTCTCTATCGAGCCTTAATTTGGTAACCCGTTTTCGTAGATCTTGTTTTTACGTTGCAAATTGTGTAAGCAAAAAGAAGCTGCGTCACGTGGCCTGTAATGTGATATGCAATGCGTGACCACCCTTGAATGATCATCATATAATATTTTAAATAACGTGCGTAATGCGAACGCCCTCTTGCACGTTCACAAACAAAAATGCAAAGACCTCTTTACTCATGTGCAGCTCTGTTGCGCAACAATGTGGTGCGAATACGTAAATGCACACAAATCAATGAGCGTGTTTACATTAATGCGAGAAAGTCGTGGGACTTTTCATGAAATTTTACTGATCAAAATTTTGAAGTGATTTTATCGCCCGACATATAGAACATCACATACTTTCAGGAACATGTGTGACATGTCGAGCATTTGCGATGCAATCAAGCTAAATGAGTCGTTTGTCGACCCTGGTCAATTTTTTTCACAGATTTGAAAAGAGAACAATCTCAGCATTACTGCTTTGAAAACTGCATGCTGTATCATCTTTAGTTCAAAAATTATGGAAGTCAGAACACCAAAAGATGTGAAGTGATGTGGTGAAGTGACCCTATTTTGGCATGAATCGCTAAGTGACAGTTCCCGACCGACAACTCATTTAGCTGGATCGCATCGAATTAACTGTGATGCGATCCAGCTAAATAAATTGTGTGGGCACATGCACATATGGAACACTGCCGCATATGCAAAGTCGATGTGGCAATACCCTTATGTGTAAATTGCCTTTTACAGGGGTGTGAGTGACCACTTACAAAAATAGCTGAAAATAGCTGAAAAAAGGTGTAAAGAAGCTGAACTTTGGAAATCTTCTATACTTTTGTACACAGTAAGTGAGGGAAAAAGCTGAAAAAAAGATGAAATCCATAACCAAAAAAAGCTGAAATCAAGCTTTAAAGCTGAGATTTCACACCCCTGCTTTTACTCACCACAGCCTTCGTTGTCCCCTGTGCAGTTCTTGAAGATGTCCTTCAGCGCTCTCTCCAAGGCCTGGGACAACTTCCTCGGGATGATTGTTTCCTCATCTCCGACGCACGTGTAGAAGTCTCGGGAGTCCAGATCTACCAGTAGAGCCTGGGTGAAGTGAAATAGTTGCAATAGTTCGGAGTGTCAGATTTTTTTCCCCATGAGTATGTGTTTGAGTGTGAGTACTTTACCATGAGTACGATTGCGAGTATAAGTGCCGTTGTCCAATGGTTACGGTATTTGACTCATGTGCCGTGGGTTTGAACCCTGCTGGGACTCATGGTGCTTGTGTTCTTGGGCAGGACACTTTACGACAACTGTCTCTCTCTACACAGGAGTATAAATGGGTACCTGTGTAAATTGTGCCGATTGCGCCGATCTTTGAGTTGCTGCAGAAAAACTGGTTTGATGAACAGGGGTAATAATTGTAAAGCCCTTTGTACACAATGTACAAGCACTGCATTACTATTACTACAAGGCGATTATGAGAACAAGTACATTTCCATGAGTATTGTGGCTTATTTACACAACGATTTGCCTACTGAAAGGCATATAGTATCATCTACAAATACTCAAAAATGATCCTGCCATAATATTAAGAAATAGCGCACTTGATTGGAAGTAAATTATAGAATGAAACATCCTGTGAAATCGTTAAGACTGGCATGCTGTCAATCTGAACAATTTTGTTGCAGCACTTGCAGAGGTTTGGACTTCGCTGAGAACAAACAGTTTCCTCAAATACTACATCCGTTAAACGGCTGCGAGCCAGCTGTTGACTTCATTATACGCAGGAGTACCGGTACGTATTTCTTTCTCACGACAGAGCCAGCGGAGCGTGAATATCCGACTCCATGAAATATGGACTCATTGGTAGTATAGCGCATACTCAAGTATGACAATTAGGAGAGTGACTGGTCACGTGTGAGGGATTAACCATTAATAGGCAAAAGGAGTCTAATTTAAGCAGGAGTCGGATTTTTTTGTGACACCAGTGTCACGGTCTCACTTCTCTGGCGTGCCAGATTCTCCAGGTGGATTAGGCGGATAATTGAGCACGTTACAGTGCACGTGACATGAGCATGATACATGCTCATGTGTCCGCTGTGCTTACTTTTTCTCGGGCTGTATTTTGAAGTCTACCAAGCCTATTAATAACACAGTGAAGGACACCCAAGAATGTGTTATGTAACACTTCCTGTGAGTCAAGTCATTCCATGGTCTGGCATTCTGATTTGTGTTCCCAGCGTCATGCATGTGTGTGTGTTCATGGAGGAATAATTAAGAACGAACTCCTTGGTCCGTGTCCCTTGCTCGTTCGTGGTCCATTTTGTCTTTATTTTTACAACCATGTGGCTTAAAATAAATGTGCATTTCAAGCCTTTTTTGGGTTATTGGGAGTTGTGCGCGCCACGAAAATTCTGGATTCGACTGGTACCCTGTAACCCTGCATACAAATAATCCTAAGATATTACGTGCACCAGTACAATCCCGAAGCACTCAGCACACAAATAAAGTTGACGAAAATGCACACCAATGCGCAATTTTGTGCATGCGTGTTGAAGCTAAATTTCCCTTTCGGAGAAGCTAGCACGCCGGAGAAGTGAGACTGTGACACCGGCACTTGGGCACTCCCTGTGACCTATGGGTTATATACACGACAGATTCTGCAAACTACACTTTTGACGGTTGAAAAGGAAGAGCGTTTTTTAGCACTTTTTTTTCAAAACCAATTGACAAAAAACATTGAACAGCTCAGTAAATTAATGTCTGCTATAAATTAATAGCCCTTTTAGATCGGCACATTTCATGAAATTAAGACAAATGCAAATGATGCTATATGCCTTTGAGTTCACTGGATGCACTACCCTACCTCATCTATCGGTAGCATCTCCACATTGGGAATACATAGCGCCAGCATGCCCATGATGTAAGGAGTCGGTGAACAAGACATGTCAATCAGCTTCTCTGGTAGGACAGGCACGTAGACGTGTTGCCATGCAAACGGGTACAGGAGTGCGGCCGCCGCCTGGGAGCACTTGGATAGTTTACTGCAAACACAAAAGGAAAATGACTTCATGTCACTGAATCGCTACTACAAAAACCCTCTCCGGTAGTAAATGTGCAGGGGCTAGGAACTTAAGTATGGGCACCATCAACAGAAAGAAAAACCAACCATCGTTGGAAAAAACTGACTAAATACTGACCCCAGTAAGTCCATATTTTGGTTACACATTACCGGTAGTTACACATACGTAAACGGGTGCAAGCAAGCTAGTCTTGACGACGTCCATAAATTGCTCCGTTTAGTCTGGAGTAGGGTCAGCGGACCAGACTACTAGAACAGCACTTTTCGCTTGGTTTTTCCAGCATCCATGAACACAAAACTTGAAACAGGTCAGTGTGACAATTATTTGCTATATAATACTAAACCCCCAAATCCATCCATGTCTGAAAATTACAGCAATGGCAAATGTTGCATATTTACCTTTAAGCAAACTTAACATTATGGATTAATTGCTTAAAGGCAGGCTCACACTTGCCATGAACACAGATACAACACGCATTTCTGATGACACGGCAAGCATTCCAGCTGCGAATTCGCAGAAGTTGGACACACTTCAAATCTGGCGAATTTCGAATTGAACGTTTCCTGAAGTCAATTATGCTTTCGCATTTGCTTCTGCGCGGAGCATGAATCAGCTGTTAGGCTGCACGCTCTCAGAGATTTTTAGCTGCGGGATGGAGCTCAACAAATCATCATGTCTCTACGTTAGTCCGTTAGTTCATTAGCAAAAAAGGTTGAAATTGTCTATTGCTCCTACATTCTATGACTGATTTCAACCAAACTTTGTCAAAAGTATCAGTAGCCCAGCCCAACATGTCACATGACCAAACTGGAGTCAAAGGTCATTATGGGGTCTCTGGGGTCAAAAACCTGAATTTTTTTTCACTCAAAACACTACTCCTTCCAGAAATTACATGGCACAATCACGTGATTTATGCATGATCATGAACTCATTGGCCCACAGCTTCCGCGATATATTTCCGATCGCGCTTGTTACTATGTCACTAAATATTAGCAAATTGTTCCCTCTGAGGTACGCGTGACTTTTGCTCTGCTTTCTGACTGTGATATTGGTTGAATAGACAAGGGCTCTGTTAGCAGAAAATTCTGCCCATAACTGAGCCCTAGAGCCCTGGGGTTAGGGGTTGGGGTGGGGGGGGGGGGTTGTCCGGGGGAACAGGCGATGGATGACTCACCTGATTTTGCCTGAGAACATGATGATTCGACGCTCAAACAACAACGAGGCAAAGACCTGAATGACTTGAGTAATCTCCAATGCGTTGAACAGACAATCAATGTCCACCTGTTTTAAGACAAGAAGGAAGAAACAATTGTAGGCCTAGGAGGCAATCGAAACCCGGGGTCATAACAGTGGAAGATGAGGAAATGACCACTACATCAATTTGATACCCTAAATCCAAAAACGCACTGCAGCAAATTTGAAAGGGATGGGGTCGGAGTGGGCTGAATTGACATAATTTTTCACCTGAGGGTGCTGTTCTAGCCGAACAGCTTCCTTATACAGGCCCTTTCAAACATTTTTTACTGTTGAATTTACTAAGGCCAAAAAGAAAATAGTCAGTCTCTGGTCAGACCAAAGTTGGGTACTATTTTTTTTTTTTTTGGGTGCCCTCCATCATTTATTTGTTCTGTGAGGGGGATAGCTTGAAAAATGAAACAACAGTTGGGGATGATCCGACCATCGCAGTCACCTTCAATCCAGCGTATTTGGCGTCTAGAAAAAATCTCTCCCCGTCACATGACACAATACCGAACAGTGTAGTTGACTAGCTGCCATTGCTGTTGATCAGCTGGCAGCAACCTCGTACCCGTGATCTGTACTATTATTTGTTCAACATCAACCTCGCACTGGATCTATCACCCTGGGATCGAGATCGAGCTGCCCACAGGAATTTGAGGCAGTGCCGCATTAGAGGGAGCTATTGTAGCTACCACAGAAAATTTGGGGGAAAAAATGATAAAAAAAAGATGCACGCGCTGACCAGAGACCGACTTTTTTTTTTTTTGGCCTAACACTGATGAGTATAAACATTGTACCTCAGAAAAAAATATACTGCAAGTAAAAATTGTGCGATCCCCCGGCATGCTGGCAGTTTGTATACACATACAGGCAGTTAGTATGGACAATTTCCAGTGTACCTAACCAAAATGGAATGTGTCGTAACTAGCAACAGGGATTAGCAAAGAAATGGGTGGGCAGCCCTGGTAGTCAGGCAGTGTTGTGTCGCTTGTGTGTGCCTCTGAAGGGAAAGTGAACACCCCTAGATCACTATACAGTCCACAACTGTGAAGCTACCAAGGGGCCTTTTACTTGCAAAACAATAAATCATGGGCAACCTACGGGTAGGACCAAGGCCTGTTGAGCAACCCTGGAGGTCAAGACCTGTTGTCTGAGTCTAATCACTTTTACCAGATACCATGAACACTAACCACAAATCAAGTTTGGCTGAGCTTGATGAGTGAACTTATTGTACAGTGAACCTGACCAAAATGGAACATACATACATACATACAAACACATGTTTACGTTACATACCAAGTGTGGACATTCCCTTGGTTTCATGTAATTAAGAAAAACCAGTGAACAAAACTCATTTTTCTCAAACTGTGAAAACTCTTTCAACCTGTTTTTTTTCCTATGATCCCCTTTAGTGTTTCTCTTCATTTTGCCACAGATAAACTTAACCCAAAAATGCCTCTAAACCTGTTTTCCAGAAATGGGGAAACACTGTGTGGACTTGCCCAAGTCCACACAACGTCACCTCTACCTGGTTTATATGGACCTCTTTTGTTCGGAAGTCCACACAGTGAATGCAATGCCTACCCACACAGACACACCCAGGAATACGCGATCGCAATATCGCCCTCCGGCTTACAGCCGAGGGGGGGGGGGGGGATAAAATGAGGGGCAAACTTCAGGGCATACTGGAGGGGCATGTGGGCAAGAGTAAAATTTGTGAGCAGTTCCTCATAACTACATGCACTTACATGCTCTAATCTGGAGTCTTTGGGTCTCTGCAGTGCCAGTGGTTGCACCATGCTCGTTCTCTTATCTATGTCTTCACCCATCTCCATGATACAGATTGATTTACCCTTCAAAAAAAACATCAATAATACAGGGTGAGTCAAAAACAAAGTTACCCAAATTAACAATAATTTTATCTTAAATAGCTATCAAATTTGAAACACCAATGAAGTATATCTGAAAAGAGCATGTTCTTCCACTTATCTCAAAAAAGAATTACTGAAATTGATCCATGCTATCAGGAGTTACGAACGTTTTACTAAAAGAACCAATTTTTATAGCTGTCCATGGAATGCCATTCGAAGTTGTTGCGCTGGTTGAGTATTACAGGTTACACACCTATGTTTCATTGTACTCAATTGTAGAACGGTAAATGATTAGTGGTGGACAGCCAAGTTTTGTGATCTTTTTATTGAAATAGGACATAACTTGGGAATGGAGTATGCAAATTATGTCAATTAAAATTAAACGTCAATAAGATGTACTTTATCCCAATAGATTTTTTTTTTGTGAAATGGAGCAAGCCAAATATTTTAAAAATATTTTTCAAATTGGGTAACTTTCTTTTTGACTCACCCAGTAGAGAGTTTCCACATGTGAGCAGATATGTGAGCAAATGGATATCGAACAAGTTCAACACTAACTCCCTAGGTATTTTTGTTGAGATATAACCTCAATCCTGCAAAATCCTCCGTTTTTTTGTTTAATATGGTCATTGGAGGGGTAACCACACTGCCTCAATCCTGCAAAATCCTCCGACAATCACTGTCAATATGTTGAGGCAGAGCCAGTGACATCCTGGGGCAGTACGGAGGATTTCAGGTATAATCTAGGCATGGCTCAGCACAAACAACACAAGGTCTGGCCAAGACCTTGACACAGTGCATCCCCCGAAATCCGCCACACACTTTTGCCATGTAACCTGAATCCTGCAAAATCATACATTTATTTGCCCCGAGGATTTGGGAGGGTTAGGGTTAAATATAATGTAGTACAGTTTATTAACTTACTGGTAGGGGGACAGTCCTCTTATGAGCTTCCCGTATCAGCTTCTCCATTTCCCACCTGGACCTGTGTCTTCGCTTCTCGATCCCGTCAAGCAGCTGGGTGTAGAGCAGACTACAGCTGATGGGGGTGATGATACAGTAGACCTCCGGTAGGCGGGGCTTGTCACCAGGGGGCTGTATAAAAAAAAAAAAGAGGGGTGGGAGAAATAACAGTTGAGAGATGGAGACGCTATGAACAGAATTTTGAGCACAGAAAATATTTGCTGAGCAAAAAACTAGACCGGCGAACTGACCTCAGAAGGGAGGAATGCAAAATTAAACAAGTGGTAGGTGAGGTTAAATTCCGAGGTTTACCTCATAAAAACTTCGGAAAACCTCAAGGTGAACTTGGATTTACCGGCTGTTTAATTTCACATTCTCCTTTAACAAACGTGAATATAATATATGAGGTAACGGTATACCCCACAAAACCTCAGCAAAACCACAAGCTAACCCTTGATTTAACGGTTGTTAATTTCACATTCTCCCCTAACATGCGCACACATGTGAATATATGAGGTATACCTATACCCCATAAAACCTCAGCAAAACCTCAAGGTGATCCTTGATTTAACGGTTGTTAATTTCACATTCTTCCCATAACACATTTGAATATATGAGGTACAACCAAGAAAACCTCAGCAAAACCTCAAGGTAAACCTGGATTTACCAGCTGTTTGTCTCCCCTAACACACGTGTAAAAGTATATGGGGTCACGCAGGGTCATACTACAGAGCACAGCCAAATTGAAAGTGTTGATTTGTTCAGAGGGAGGCAAACCGGAAATGAGGTATACTCCATAAAAACCTCGGCAAAACCTCAGAGCTAAACCTGGATTTACCGTCTGTTTATCTCACCTACCACACATGTATACATGTATGTCGTACAAGTATGGGGTCATGTGGGGTCATACCACGGAGCCCAGCCAGATTGAAAGTGTAGCAGAGGGAGGAAAACCGGAGAGCCCAGAAAAAAACCTCGTGGCACAGGAGAGAAAAAGCAAGGCATCAAACCCGGTCCACAGCGGTGGGTGGCAACTGCTCTACGCACTGCACCACCCATGCCACTGGAGTCATAGAAATTCTTAACTGGCTTGCAGCAGTTCTATAGTTCATAGTTCAATGCAAGAATGCTCCTTGAAATGCAACTAACCAACCACATCTAAAGAGTATGGCCATGGAATTACACACGAGACTATGGAAGCGGCTCGTGTGTGATTTCAAGCCGTAGCCATGTAAGGCCAAAAAAAAAGTCTCCGGTTTCTGGTATGCGCGCGTGTCGCCGTAGCCATGCGCGTCGGCAAAATGAAAAAGGTTTTTTTTCAATGAAAGATGATGTCTCAAAACCGCCAAACTCACTGGTTTGACTGGAATTCTGCTGCGGCGCAATTTCAACGTGTTTTTATATGGGGATATGATCGAGAATAAGCTTTATGTGGCCACTCTGGAGTCCCATATATTTGCGCTAAGTTTAGTCGGGCACCATTTGCAGTCATCAGCCGACATTTGAAGCAAAAAAGTCGGGTAAAAAAAAAAAAAAGCCGCGTCGCCGCACCACTTTTTGGACAAGCTCCATACCAGAAACCAGAGACTTTTTTTTGTGGCCTAATGTGGCTTATGTTGACCTTGGTGGACCAAGCTGATCCCTCTTACATTATTAAGACTTACCAGTAGTCTTCTGTTGTAGCCATATAACCTGGAGCCATCCATGCTCGTCAGGACAAAAGAATAGCTCTCACTGAAATAAAAAAACACAGGGTAAGGCACACGCTGATTGGAAGAATTTCTCTCCAACTAACTACATGAACTATACTCATTAACCAAAACTCCCTTATGTTTTATCCGAACAACACACTGCAGATAAACTTGTGGGACAATTTTGCCATGTGGGTTTCATTAATTTTGTCATGAGATAAAATTTAAAGGAAGAATAGCTTAACAATTAATCTGATGAATTTTTAGCTCTGTGAATACAGTATATTCCGAGAAAACACAATATTCTGGATCTCGATTTCAGTTAAAAAGTTGCGGAGTCATCTTTTGCATTACTACCTGCCGTGACACAATCCCAAAATCAGCATCGAGGGACATGCTTCTCGTTCGGCTAATTGTTGCTGCGTGATGTTACACACTGAACAGCAGCCGCGCGAGCGTGTGTGTCGTGTCAATGTCAACGCTTGCACCTATTCACCGATTTGCCCAATAACCAACAAACCAGAATTTCAAAAAATGTGTCACGTCAATACATCGTTGCTAAGTATGGTTGAAATTGTGAATACATTCAAAGTCCGCAAGGGATGGACTGGGAAGCAGTCTAGGTCTCCCCAAACTCTCCCTTTCTGGCCATTGAATGGGTACTTGTGCACGGAAATGACCTTCTTCTGCTGTTTTCTTCAAAATGACAGCATGCCAGACATGCCAGAAGGAGTATTCCCAAAGGACTCAGAATTTCTGCCATTGGATGGATTCTGAACAACTTCTCCAAATTAGGATAAACTATTGCGGATGCTGCAATTATCCCTGATGTTTCAATGGCATGAATGGGATGACTCCTTACCTGTTGTATTCCTCAACTGGTGCCCACTTGAAGGCGTCCGGGAAACAGAAGTGGGGAATTGCACGTAGTTTATCATTCTGGCTGCTGCTGATCTGAAGAAAGAAAACAATAAATAAAATTTCTTCCATCAGGAGAATCGCACTAAGCCATTCAGAATTTTATGATCTCGACCCATCTTTTCTAATTGCCATCCGTGCATATCTGTATTGCATTTGTTTGAGACTATACCTGCTGTTAATGCCTTTTTATAATTTCCAAGTTTTTTTTGTCGCAAATTGTTTTTCTGGATATTTCATGGAAACTACATGTAGACATGCCGATTAACCGAACACAATTTTCCAGTTAAAAATGAAAAAGAAAGTGCTTCCAAACTAGAAAACATAATTGTAAAAGATATCTAAAAGCAAAACAAATTTCAAAATTTCCCACGTTTTCCTATTATTTGCCGCTGGGCTCAGTATGGGTTTCATGCGCCAACAAAAGAGGGTACTTTTTACAACTTTTAAGATGGTTCACACTGTGTGTGTGTGGGTGTACTGGTTTGTGTGCGAAGTACGCACGAGTTATCAACCCTGGATGTGCCAAAGCTAAGCCATAGCATCTTCGCGTTAGCGACCTACAGGCGTTGTCGGCACATGGATGCGTTCAAATTTGTTTCTCGATGGTCTCACAGACTAACCCCCGCCCCCATAACTATGGATACATTCGAAGTCTGCAAGAGATGGACTGGGAAGCAAGTCTACGATAGGCCACACCCCCCCCCCCCAACTCTCCCTTTCTGGGCGTTAAGGGGTACTTGTGCATGGAGCCAATACAATATCCTAATCTCAAGAAAACTCCTGGCTAAAAATCTTGAAATCAAAACAATTCCTCACACAAAAATTTGGAAATCAGGAAAAATCCTCAGAAAAAAAAATCACAAAAAACGAAAAAATTCCGGCAATTCTCGCCCCTTGTTACCTGTACATGATTTCACTTATACCTCTTCAGGATATCTGTACTTCTCAACGGGATAGTAGCGCCGCGTTTCTTCGTTATATTTCAGCGTGATGACCAGAAGGTAGTCGTACAGTTTACTCTCACTGATGATCCGCCGGTCAACGTTGCAGTAGACCGAGGAGCGTTTCTTCACAGCCCGGGCATGAGTGAGTCTCTTGTGCATAACTGCAACACCAATGGAGGAAACTATTACGCTTCACACCGGTACATATTTATGAGCCATATATGTACTGTTTTCATTGGTTGAATTCCAAATGTGTTTAGGGAAGTATGTAAAAGTAACTACTGAGTACTATCACCCAACTGGCTGATTCGTTTTACAAAATTTGAGCAATATGCTCAAGAGAAAGCGGTGGAAAATTGGGACTTATGCGATTGTTTTATTTTTTATCAAAGTGTCATCTTTATGATCTTTAAATTTTTTACATGGGATAATCCATATACATATGTATATGTAATGTATATTCTCGATAATAGATTTTATATATCGATTACTGAAAATTCCGATATCGACGGTGTTCAGGACTAGGACTTTGCTACTTTTACTTTATGATTCTGCGAATCCCACACCCAGGAAAGTCCCTCGTTGTTTTTAAAACTTTCAGATTCCACTCTCTGATTATCCTGCACAATGTGGACACGTAAGATGTACATGTATGTCTGCTGATGACATTACATGAAGTACATAACATTGAAAGGGATGAGTCACATAAGGTCAAACATGACAACTCAGGAAACCACATATACCGGTGTTAAAGAGGTTGTGGAATGCTCGAAGACATTTCTGTCATTTTTCGGGTATATGTAGCCTAAGGTGTGATGAAATAAAAACGACTATTGTTTCTGTCATGAAATGAGTACAAAAGGTACTTTTGAGAGCTGTTTTTCAGGTCCAGTTTCGACCCGAACGTGCAACTGTGTAAAAGTCGTCGTTGCGGGCAGCAAACAAAACACAGTAAATCGTGACGTAATAAACAGGACTCGTGTATGCTACTGCATGCTTTGCGGAAATGTCTTCGAGCATTCCACATCCTCTTTAAAGGCTAAACCTGTATGTATGTACATAATTATATAATATTGGATGGCTTTGAGGTGGATACAAGAATATATTGTCATAGCGAGTGCAATATATTCTTGTATCCACCGAAAAAGCCATCCAATATTATTATTATTATTTATATCAGGCTGACTTGATCCGCAAGAAATAGAATTCAAGACACTGTCCTCATTTCATCCTTTTCGTCAAACTGTTTGAAGCTGCCACTGCAATATTGTTGATAACAGTGCGCGTATACCTGGCCTTCTGCGCACTGCATGCGCGCGGCGTGTTCCGTATTCGACGGTACGCCGCGTTACGCTCTGTTGATCGGTTGACAACTGTGACTTTCTATGCTCTTGATCGTGCGGGAACCAGCGAAAATGCCCGGATGACTGCAATAATAATGATATTGCAGTCAACCGGGTACTTTATTATTGTAGTCATCCAGGAACTTTTTGTGACGACATACATGTACAATACGCTGATTTATTTTTACTGCTGGAAGCCTGATATAAATAATAATGCATATTATGTATGTTTGCACAACATTTGTAGGCCTGGTCATCCAGTTTTAATGGTTGTGCAAAAACTGCATTAATCAACTGGTGGTTATATTCCTTTTGGCGATATATGGCAGACTCAACGGGAGAGTGTTTTGGGTTGGGTAAAACCATTTGTATCTACCCTAATATACCCACACCAAATATCATCTTCCCAGTGTTTTTGCCATATCTCAAAAAGAGTAGTTTAAAGTGTTTCTTAGAGCCAATGTAAGCACATCAGAACTACAGCCCGTGTCCCAATAAACATCGTGCATGAAGAAATCACTAATTTTCTCAAAAGTTGGTCAGACTAGCTAAACAAATTTTAAAGCATTTTCAAGCCTATGGTCTTTTTTATAATTGGTGAAAAAATCAAGAAAATCCAACGATGCAAACCAGAGATATCTTTGATTTGGTAAGGCTATGCATTTTTCGACCTGCACAATGTAATTTCCACACTTAGTATTTGCTTGTATACCAATTATTGGGTTATTGGTATGTGTTACGCAGTGCTTGAAATATTGCATGGCCTTTGTGTAAAAAGATTTCATTTGTAAATAAATAAAAGAAGAAACAGCATACATGTAGCTAGAGGAAGATTATTCAAAAGCACATGGTCACTGCTCTATTTGCAACTTACTCGAGCGGCAATGTTGTATAGACCCTTTACACGTTCTTTGTTAACATGCTTAACTAAAGGATTCTAATTGTGCAGGAGGAAAATAATACAGCCTTACAAAATCAACGATTTTCTCTGGTTTGCATTGATAGATTTTCTTGATATTTTCACCAATTATAAACAAGACCACAGACTTTAAAATAATATAAGATTTGAATAGCTAGTATGACCACCTTTTGAGCAAATCAGGCCCATCGCTACCCCCCCCCCACCCCGCCTTCCCCCCCCCCCCCCATCCCTCAGCAAAAAAAACTTATATGTATTTGTGCTTTTACTTGTGTATCGGATCGCAATACCAACGCTCCTCTCATCGCAAAGGTAATGCAAAATTGAACGCACACCTGCTAAAATAAAACAGATAACATACCCTACCGTATGAACATTACGTTCTCCATTGTTACATACATGTACATGTACCGATACCTTGGTTGAAAGAATGGCTTTACGTAACCACCAGGATATATGCAAGTGAAAATCCCCAAATTTGTTTTTCATTTGTCCGGAAACTAAACTGATTCTGTAGGAAAGGGTTTCCCACACGGGAAGAGGAAAAGCAGGTTGCTAGGCAACCAGGAAACATGAATCCAGGAGAAAAGTTACATGTAGACAGGATCTGCACGTAAGGTCAATGTACATATAAATAAACATGATGAAAAACAAATTAAAAAACAAAGGTTGACATTGGTGTTATTAGAGTCTTTTTTTTTTAGATGGGGAGGATATCATATCATTTATCCCCCCCCCCCCCCCACACACACACACACTTTTTACATCCCCAGATAAAAATTGTAGCATTGCCTCAGTTGATCGCACCACAGAGCATTTAGAATCCAAAAATGTTCGGGGCCCTTAAGCGCATCGAGCTCGCATTAGTGCTCATCAAGGTATGTCCCCCCCCCTACTTTTGAGAGGCGATTGACACCCTTGGAAACTCCAGATGCACATTACACAAGAAAAGCAGATCCCTAAATTCAACATGGCAGCCGGCCAGAAATCGGCTCACCCAAGAACAAATCCCAGGATTTCCACCTTCCCTGCTCCTATATTTGGCTCGTGGAGTAAAATTAGCTTCCTTCCCAAGGGGACAATCAATAATCGAGTTTGGGCTATTTTTACTGCCGAACTCATCGACAGTACTCTTTGCTTGGCCAAGAATTAAAAATATTTCAGGTGCCAAATTTTGTGGAAGTGCTTTACAGCCAATAATACAGCTACGAAAACAATCTCATGGTTCTACTATCTCCATGATTCCCCGCTACATTACGATCACCATTCTGTGTCAACAGCACTAACAGAAAGATTCTGCACTAACCATGCTAACCCAGTAACTAAGCATGGCGTGCCATGGCCTAGCGGTTAAGAGCACCGGACTCATGCTCTGGTGTTTCAGAGGCAACAGTGATGTGGGTTCGAGCCCGCCGGGTGGACACTTGTGCCCTTAAGCAAGGCACTTAACCATTATTGCTTCATCCTTCAGATGGGAAGTAAAGCCGTAGGTGTGTGGTGTAATGCAATGCACGTAAAAGAACCCAGTGACACTTATCGCTAAGAGAAGGGGGTTTGCCCCGGTGTTCCTGGTCTCCTGTATAAACTCCCACACGGAGTATTTAGGAGAACCAACCAAGACCAAGAACCAAGAAGCATGCACAGAATTCTTAGCTATGGGCAGGATGGCAAGCACGTACATGTTATGCGTGCAAGCCAAAATTCCTCGCTAAACCCGTGAAACACCTAAGCCCCCGGGCTTTAGGATGTTTCAGCTGTACATGCTGAGCAAAAAGTCTCTCAAGGCCGTTTGCTCAGCACGTAGCTCACCGTGTGCGGTGAATTTTTGCTGCACTTTCCACCTCGCGAGGCCACAAGGCCAATGTCTATCCTGTTTGATTTATTTTGCCTCGCGAGGCACAAATCTCACTGTGTCAGCGAACCTAAGCCATGTGCTGAGCTAAAACGATCAACTAGCCAATGAAATCACGTACTCTGCTCATGTGGTTTTAAGATATTTTGTGCAAATCTTCTAAAGCCTGCTTGCTTTTGTCCCCATTTTTTTTTTTTAAATCACCTGACTGACAAACAAGAACAATGTCCTTTCATTGGATAATTAATCTTTTCAGCTCAGCACGTAGCTCAAGCCCCCCGCACACGGGAGATACATTGTACATTAAGTGCTTAGCAAAAAGTCATATGAGGCTATGTGCTCAGCACGTACATGTAGCTAAGGTTCGGCCCACACGGTGAGATTTTTGGCCACAGGAGGCGACAGAAATCAAATAGGATAGACATTGGCCTCAGGGCCTCGCGAGACAGAAAACGCAGCAAAAGTGCACCACACTCTGTGAGCTACATGCTGACGAACGGCCTCGAGAGACTTTTTGCTCAGCACGTACATGTAGCTCTCGTGTGCGGCGGTCCTTACTACAAGCAGGGAATTTTCTGCTACAGCAAGCAGTGATTTTTCGCCGATGGTATTGGACCCTGTGGTTGATAAGCAAATATTTTCTGTGCTTAGTAAATTTCTCTGCTCAGCTGTTGCTTTTGTTTGTTTGTGTTTGCTTTCTGTAAGTTGTTTATGGTTTTTCTCTGTTCTTGATCTTGTTGTTTCTTGTCGTCTTCTGTTGTAGCTCTTTGTTGATTGTGGGTTGTTGTTTTTTTTGTCGTACTTTACTTGTATGATTTTTGTTGTTTGTCAATGATTGTTGTTTACTGTTTGACTGACCTGCTTCATTGACTTCACCATCGCTGTCCTCCGACGTCACTGAGATGCGGTCGTCTTCTTGGAGAGTTTTAGGATTCCTTGGATGTTTTATATGGAATGCATCATTGAGCTTTCTTCTCATCTGTGGAAGATAACAAACGAAGCAGCTTTGATTTAAAGTTTAACAAAAAAGGGGGGGGGGGCCTTTACGATTTGGAACCCCACCTCGATCCTTTTTTGGCTGTGCAACATACAATGAACGTATGTTTATCCTGGTGAAAATGTCCATTCCACATGTACATTTAGGCCGGTACGTCTGTAAAATTTTTGCACAATTAAGCAGTTCACCTTATAGTCAGTAAACAAGCTCCCTTTTCTTGTCAGTTTTTGTGCAGTGGTGATTAAAATGTTCACATTTCAAATTTTAAGTTCCCTTGAAATTGAGTGTCCAAAATATGCTCAGGAAGGCACTCAACATCCACTGGAAACAACACATCACAAAACAAGGGGCCTTCTAAAATTGACAAAATCCACAAAAGAAGAACACACTTCGCTGGACACAGCTACAGGAGCAAGAACGAAACCAGTAGCAAAGCTGATAGTTTGGACACCAAAACACGGCCGCAGGAGCAAAGGAAGACCTCCCACCACATACATCAACATACTGAAACAGGACACAGGGCTTGAAGCATCAGATCTGGGGACTGCCATGCAGGACAGAAGATACTGGTGCACTGTTGTGACTTGGGAAGACTACCCGAAATAAGCAAGTAAGCAAGCATATATGCCAAAAAATTGTCAAAGATCAACCTAACAAGAAGACCTATAGGGTTTCCTCAGTTCATACATGTATATGAGGCTGAATATCATATCATAACGCAAGGGCTCTCAAAGTTTAAATAATGACAGTTATGTCATGTATGTTATTCTTGAGGTAAAATCCTAAACATTGACTCAAATACCTACATGTACATCGACTTATCCCATTCATGCAGTTGCAACTGTACGCACATGTACCGGTACAATAAGCCCCTACAGTGTCAAGTGAACCCATATCTGTCATGCAGCAATTAACACTTGCTCCCATTTCCAAACTGATATGAGTGATGATTTTGTTACTTAAAAGTGGCGGATCCAGCATTTACAAAAGGGGGAGGCCTACATTGTACAACGGAGGCAAAAATCCGACCATACACAAGCGGGGCATGCAAGCTTGTATTTGCTCATTATGCGTGAACATTTCCGAGTTTGAAGAGATTACCAGTCATGCCAGTTAAGTCTGAGGATCAACCATTATCCACGGAGCCATTAAGTCTCCTGTATATATAAGGTCTGATATATGTCTAGACATGCAGATATATGCACAACTTCATGTATTTATATACACAAATATATATTAGCAGGATCTTATAGGGTTTCCTCAGTTCATATATTTGCTCATTATGCGTGAACATTTCTGGGTTTGAAGAGATATTACCAGTTAGTATGAGGATCACCCGTTATCCACGGAGCCAAGTCTCCTGTATAAATAACGTCTGATATGTCTAGACATGCAGATATATGCAAGCTGCGCGCCAGCCAATCGGAGTCGACTTTTACTCAATCGTGACGTCATTTCATTCCCAAATCAGGACTACATGGTTTGATTAGTCAATTTGAATGCAGTGTTTTGTAATACAACAACAGCTGGGCGTGTATCGCGTAACATGATACAGAGCACATGTTTTTTTTTTATCCATTGTCTATGAGTATGACGCGCAACAGGTGAATGACCAAAGACCCGATATGGAAAATTCCCACTGATCATGCTGATTGGTCAATATCTAGAGGCCAAGCGGCGGTTGTCGATCCTTCCTAATTAAATCAACGAATCTGCTCACATTTGCCATGGTCTATTATATAATTACTAGTTGTCATCAGAAGAAATATGGACAAAAGACAAGACATAAATATAATCATGTACCTCTTTTAAAGAGGTTGTGGAATGCTCGAAGACATTTCCGTCATTTTTCGGGTATATGTAGCCTAAGGTGTGATGAAATAAAAACCACTATTGTTTCTGTCATGAAATGAGTACAAAAGGTACTTTTGAGAGCTGTTTTTCAGGTCCAGTTTCGACCCGAACGTGCAACTGTATAAAAGTCGTCGTTGTGGGCAGCAAACAAAACACAGTAAATCGTGACGCAATAAACAGGACTCCCGATGCACAGTAGCATACACGAGTCCTGTTTATTACGTCACGATTTACTGTGTTTTGTTTGCTGCCCGCAACGACGACTTTTACACAGTTGCACGTTCGGGTCGAAACTGGACCTGAAAAACAGCTCTCAAAAGTACCTTTTGTACTCATTTCATGACAGAAACAGTAGTCGTTTTTATTTCATTACACCTTAGGCTGCATATACCCGAAAAATGACGGAAATGTCTTCGAGCATTCCACAACCTCTTTAAAGAAAACAAACCGGCTGTGCATGCCCCCTCTGGATCCACTACTACAGAGCCCTAGAAGTGACAGTTCTGCACAGTTGGACACGAATCTAAAAGATCTCTGTGATTTCACATGCGACAGGGATTCCTGATCCCTAATTGGCAACAGATGTCTCACCGCCTGTGCCAGCCGAAGGTTTGATGGGTGAATCACTCACAGTGAAGGAAATGGGGACAACCCCTTCGGTTTTGAAATAAGACCGCACTGCTTTCATGTAAAAAATTCCCCACAAAGATACTATGCATGTGCTTCAGTCATTGAAAGACAAAAAATGTATGCAGTGATTTTAAGTATTTTACCAACTACAGTGAACCACGGAGCTGTTTAAACACAGTACACCTGTTCATGCACTAGCATACATTCATGTGCAAGTTAGGCAGTTTCGGCTCTGCTTGGCAAAAAAGTGTGTGGGACTATTTCATGGTTCAGCTAGCCAAGGAATTCTGCACAAGCACAGAATCTTTTGATACAAGATGCCTAAAATATGTTTCAACTATTTACATACACAAATATATACATGTAAGCAGGATCTTACATTTTTTTTGTGTAAATTAAAATAGCCATTCAATTGGGCCCCAGCTGTGTCCATGCATTTTTTTGGCAATTATGGGCCACTTACGGCTGTATAGATCTGTCTCATTTGTCACTGTTATGGGGACCACTTACCACGTATTGTAGTACATCATTGTGCGGCATCATAGCTTTAGTTATAACTGTGCGTCAGCAAAATCCTATTACATGTATACATTGTGTACACGTGCGTGCAGCAGGAATGGTGTGCGCATCTTACATAATATTGCGATACGCAGAGTGCCATACGGACCATAGTATACATGTTTATGGGATAATACCAAGTGCACTTTGTTGCCATGGATCATATATGGACCAATCAGCACTAGCTGAGGATTCAAGTTTGATTGAATATGTTTGCATATGAGTCCATGCACTGGACATGCATTAAATGCCTTTATTCCGGCACCAGTAGACAACAAAGTTTTGCAGGTTTTTCTTTAAACCAAGAACACCGATAAAAGTGAAATTCTGAAACACGTGACCCGGTACTGTGTCCCATAGGTCAACAGTTTAAACCCTTGTACAATCAAACCATTGATGCATTTTTTGTGCATTATAAGCACGAAAGTTCTTTCTTTACAACTGCATTTTCAGAATCCTGGAAAACTTTACATCTGTGCAAATAATACTTCCTTCATCAGGCATGCGCAACTGAAAATTTAGAAGAAAAAAATCAAGGAAATAAATTCCAAACCACACAAGACTTTGTACAGTATTTTTCAATTTGTAATGGCATTCATGAGAAGTAAAAAACGAGGAAACCAGCGGATCTGAGGAAAAGTTGCATGCCTACTTCAATGCTTACTTGACTTTAATACAAAAAAACTGAAACAACATGACAAGAAAATCCACACTTACCTACATTATCGTCCATCTTTTTTTCTCCGGCAAAATAGCACAAAATAACAAAGTTAGGGCACGACACACAACGACACAGGCCTATACACGTACGTATATGTATACGAGTGTCCACAGCATAAAAATCCAAAAGTTTATTTCAACATTTCCTTCCCTGTCCTTGATGCAATGTGACGTTTTGCTCTCATATTTTCCCCTCGAGTTTTGCGGAAGACTTTCTTTTGAAAGGTTCCTTCATCCAGAGTTCACTATGACACGCCGTGACTGTACACTGCGGACATTTTCTGAAATGTGGAAGGAAGTGGACGCTTGTCCCTGTTTAATAAACTTGCTGCGCAGTGCGATGAGTGATCATCGGTATATCAATAAGTGAATATCGATAGTCAGACAATGTCAATGTTTAAAGTGTGAACAAATAACATCAATGATGTTTGGGCATTTTACGTGTAACCAGCATGATAACCCTGAACACGTTTTTAACACTATGACTAAGGATAAATTGGCCTTACAAGACAGATTAAAAAACAATGTGTAATTAATGTTCTGCCTCTATGACACTGGCTCGTTGTTATGTAGCAGGCAATCATTTGAGTCAAAAACCAGCTCAAAACAAAATCTTATGTATAAGATGTACATGTACAACAGGAACACACACAAACATTCGGACCCCAAATTTATGAAATGACCCATATCCCAGTGAAACAAAAGCACCGTACCTCCAAGATGGCCACCTGCAAAGGGTCATATTAGCAACACCAAACTTAAAAAAAAAAATTGTCATGCACACACATGAAAATGTATACGTGTACCAAACATACATGTACATGTACATGTACATGTACATGTACATCAGGGGATCGAGTTATCAATATCCAATCTTCTCTAGAGCCTGATTCACTTCACGCCAACGGCACAGGAAGTCTGAGTTAGCGCGGCTAGAGTTCGGAGATCAACGGGAATTAAAGCAGAAAATTGGGAAAGCAGTATAGGAAATTTGCTGGATTTTCCCCTCAAGGAACCGTTAAAAAAATAACATACATTTTGTGTACATATATGCTTCATGTACATGTACACATACCGTATATGTACATGCTTGTCACATACTTAGTTAGTAAAATGTATACATTTGGTACACTGTAAAAGTCATGTATCGGTATGTTCTAAAGCTTGTCTGCATGGTTTGCATGCTTTAGTGCATTGTATTATGATATGACATTTTATCA